CATCGATAAAGATAGTAATAAGAACGAGGGAAGGTACCGGAAAGGCTTCGATACTTTTATTGAACAAGATGGATAACTTATCGTTGTCGACGATCGCTCAGAAATACGGTAGTATCGATAAAATCCGTCAAGATATCAAACGGAAGTTAAATACCATTCGCACCGGAGAGGCGGACGCTCAGGTGACGTTGAAGAAAGTTTTCAAACCGTTGACAGATCCGCTCGCAGCGTTGCAGAAAACTGTGTCGTCGTCGTCGTCAACTCCCGCACTTGTCGCTGCTCCTCAGGAAAAGAAAACCAAGATCGAAGCTTCAAAATCGGAAACGAAAGATGGAACAACGTTTGTTGATAGTTTATTTGCTTCGTTCGGATCACCGAAAAATATAAACAACGATGATGATGATGATGATGACGATTCAAAGGAGGATGATGATGATGACGATGATGAATCGTTCCAAGATGCAACGGGTAAAGAACAAACAACGAGTCGCACTGAAGACGACGACGTCGATTCTCGAAACACAATCACTGCCCCGCACGTACAGTTCTACTTGGACGATCTGGAGAAACAACCGAAACAATCCGATACCACGTATGGTGTGCGGAAAGCGATCAACGGAAACTATCTTATCGGAAACCGAACCATAAGTTTCGATTCGGACGGACGACTAATCTTGGACGGTGGCGATGAGGTGTTCGAACCGACACCCGGGTTCTTGGAGCTCATTTTTAAGAAACATCCGCGTAATTACACAGCAGATGATCGTGCTAATTTCCAACGAGTAGTTACGCTCACCAATGCGCATTGGAGGAATCATCATCCACACGGTAGACCCAACTCGAACCGCAGTCAAAAATACCGCGATCTCATCAAACCTTTGTTCGCTACATCTACTCCGAGATCAACGAGGAAGTCATCGCGTAAAAAATTGAAGAAAGGCTCCGGTATGAAAATTCACCGTGCGAAACGGGAACTCGTCTATTGGGACGATCCGAACGAATTGGTCCAACGTCTCGTTTTACTTGTAGCTTCGAAACAAGCTGGTCACACCGATCACGATCGTGAAATTCTGAGTATCGTCGAAGAGCTTCGCGAAGCGGATTACATCCACTAAATATAGGTTCCGCACAAAAATGAGTCACACCGACCGGTTTGGAAGATCGAAAGGGACTTACGTTCGCAACACGAAGCAAGGTCTCAAAGGTGACGGTTTCTTACTGGATCCCGACGGAAATTATCTCGTATCCAACAAACGGATCCGACAACTGCAAGATCCCGAAGAGGATACCGACGCCGTGAACAAACAATGGACAGACTCGAGGTGGACGGAAGCTATGAATTTAGCACAGCTTTGTTTGGAGAGAATGGAAGAATACAAAAGTATCGCGCAACGACTCGAGACGAAATTATCACGACTGGAAAATAGAATCAGTCAACTAGAGGTTGTGAATCGAATGAAAGGAAAATAGTGTTGCGATGAGTCACACGGACGGTTTTGGCCGATCGAAATTCCGCCGCGGTCCAAAAGGTGACGGATTCTCACTGGATTCCGACGGAAATTATATCGTATCGAACAAACGGATTCGTCAAGTGCAAGATCCCGAAAGCGATGAGGATGCGGTGAACAAACAATGGTCCGAACGGAAGTGGAAGGAAGCCATGAAATTAGCTCAACACTGTCTGGAGCGTATCCACCAACTTCAGCAATCTTACAATCGTCTGGTTAAAATAGTAGCAACGAAACAGCATTTGAATCGAGAGAGCGGACGACGTCGACGGTAATTATCATGTCGGCAGAAAAACGTGGGATCGTCGAGGAGCTACATAAACCTGCACGACGAAACTATCCGCGTCGTAAAGTACGGATTCTCGGATTGTTCGATTTATGGCAAGCCGATCTCGTCGAGATGCAACCGTACGCCTCGGTCAACAAAGGATACAGATATCTCCTCACCGTCATCGACGCGTGCTCGAAAAAGGCGTGGGCCGAACCGCTCAAATCGAAAACGGCCACCGATGTCACTTTTGCTCTGCAACGCGTTCTCAAAGCAGCCGGAAAGTCACCGAAACATTTACAAGTCGACATGGGCTCGGAATTCTACAACTCCAAATGTCAGGCATTGATGAAGCGTCACCAGATCAATATGTACAGCTCGTTCTCGACAACCAAAGCCTCCATTGTGGAGCGATTCAACCGAACGCTCAAAACTAAGATGTGGAAAGAGTTCAGCGCGCAAGGATCTTACAAGTGGGTAGATCTATTACCGAAACTCATCCGTGAATATAACGGGAGCGTTCATCGCACAATCGGGATGAAACCAATCGATGTCACCGAAAAGGATGTACCGATGATCCTGCAAAAGCTTCGTGGACCGCCGCTGAGTAAAAATGAAAAGAGACGTCTGGCCAGACGAAAACTGAATGTCGGTGATCACGTCCGGATCTCGAGACTCAAAGCCATGTTCGAGAAAGGATACACACCGAATTGGAGCACGGAAATTTTCAAGATTGTCAGCGTCAATCCCACCGTTCCGATCACGTACGATCTGAAAGACGCACACGATACGATCATCAAAGGAAAATTCTACCTCGAAGAACTCCAACCCACCAACTATAAAGATACGTTCCTGGTGGAGAAAATTCTGCGTCGCAAGAAAAACCAGGTCTTTGTCAAATGGTTGGGTCTGGACGCGAGTCACAACAGTTGGATCGATAGTAAGGATTTCGTATAAATAATATGCAACGTGTTTGCGTTTTCTAAACGTGTTTGCGTTTTTTAAACGTGTTTGCGTTTTTTAAACATGTTTGCGTTTTCGAAACGTGTTTGCGTTTTCGAAACGTGTTTGCGTTTTCGAAACGTGTTTGCGTTTTCTAAACGTGTTTGCGTTTTCGAAACGTGTTTTCGTTTTCTAAACGCGAACTGTTTTTAAACTGTAACTGAAAATATCCAATAAAAAATAATAAAAAATTTTTAATTCATCAAACTGTTGAACATTGCAATATCCATTCCAAGCGCACACTAGTACAAAATTTTCAATTTTACCGAATCAGACCCTAATCTACAGTATCTGATACCGACACATATGGAAAGATACGGTCCCTCGAAACGGAAAAATTTCACAAGTCCGAAAATCCGAATTTTTTGCACAATCTGGCAACACTGTACGGAAAAATCAACTAATTTCTCGCCCCATCTGGCAACACTGTAAAATGCAATGTTGCAAAATTTCACTAATAAATAAATCATTTATTTATGTCCACCGTTCGGCAACGCTGCTGCGCCATCTTGAAAATACACCATTGCATAACCCGCAAAATGAAGGGGCATTATTACACCATTGCATAACCCGCATATTGAAGGGGCAACATGCAATACTTTCTTTTTACAGCGTTGCCATATTGAACAATAATCCCTATACAACGCTGTAATTTAATTCCTATTTTTCTGCACAATCATGCAACGCTGTTGGATAATTTACTGCGCTAAAGTCGGCATTTTCACCCTACTGCGATCACTGCGTGTCTCAACCGCGAGATGATAATTATCTTTTCAATGGGCCTGTTGCATGCAAGAGATACAGCCGCGCGAATAAACTTTTCAAAGGTTAAATGACACGAAAATTACGATGGTCACATCAAAAAAGTCTGAAATACACTCCTTACTGCGCAATTTGCGTTGTTAGGAACGCGCTTTTTCAAATTTCCCGCGTCTGGGGGCAGTTTTCTAATCACCGGAAACGAGCAAACGGCGGGCTCGGTGATTTCCGGAAGATGCCGAGTCGTTGTTGTTGTTGTGATTTTCAGTTTGTTTACAAACCCAACGTGATCTCTTATAGTTGTCCATATACGCTTTATGCGCTAACCAAATCGATCAACTTTTAAATATCCAACGCAATCCTCCTACATTTCATTTCACGATATCACGAGCTCCGATTTTTAGGTTATGTTGTTAGTTTTAGTTGACCGGAAATAGCCGCGAGTTGCCGCTAATTGTTTCCGTTAGAAAACTGCCCCCAGACGCGGGAAATTTGAAAAAGCGCGTTCCTAACAACGCAAATTGCGCAGTAAGGAGTGTATTTCAGACTTTTTTAATGTGACCATCGTAATTTTCGTGTCATTTAACCTCTGAAAAGTCTATTCGCACGTCTGTATCTCTTGCATGCAACAGGCCCATTCGGCCGTATATTCCAATTTTGTGAAAACTTTTAATTTTCGTTGACGTCTTCTAAATTGCGCAGATGAAGATCACGTCGAGGTCACCATGTTTTTCTTAGTTTTTAATAAGAAAAATATATAATTACGTAGTAATTATAAATAAATACCAAAACAATTCTCGGTAGATGTCAAAGACTGACTGAAAACTTTTATTAACCTCTTATGAGAAAATATACATTTTATCAGCTGACACTGACATTGTTGTCAGATGAACAATGCGTATTGCATTAGCATGCACTATTTGGCAAGCATCACCATTAGCCGTCGCTCATATGCACCGATCTAAATATGTGCTGGACTTACGTGGACATCCAATAGCCTCAGGCTGGACCAGCTCATATTTAAGACCGCTGCATCTGATCGACGGGACGATTCATTCCCACGACTGATTCCTAGGACTTCCCCGATCTGCGAGATCAGTCTCGCACCCCCGAAGTTGTCCGCGCCGAGGTGATTCTACGTGTCCGTTACACCTGCACCGCGCGTTCCTTCATTTTAGCGTTGCCGTCCCTTTTCCCAGGGCCCGCATCACAAGAGACGATGGAGGACTCTCCGGAAATCTGAAGTCGTCGATACTACGTTTAATAGTGGGGAGAAAATAACCGGTTGCAGTATTGCACTCTCGTATGGGCACCATACTATCTTTTAATTTCCCCTCATATCGGCAATATTGCATGGTCGTTTGGTCTTACAAGTATTATAGGGTTCATGTTTTGACAGGGTTTATCTATGTTTTTTTTCCTATTATATATCCATGTTTTTCTATTTTCGTGTTTGTTTTCAGATTGATCCGGCGGTCAATGTCAAGGTGGAGGGTAAGAAAAACTTTATATTTTGTATTTCATGCCCGTAAAGGGTCTAGCGCTTATTCCGTATCAACCACCAAAAACCCCAAAACGGGTGCATATATTGTCAAGACGGTGAGATCGCAGCAGTATAAATTAAATATTTTAATATAAGAGGAAAGCCTTTAATAACCGTTCAGAACCTTCTAATAAATAACGTCTCACTTCAAACTAGAAAAAACAACTTAATCGGCCCAAAACATGTACAAAGAAACAACTTAAAACGGGACTAAGGTCGCAAATAATAAACATAAAATAAAATAAAAAACCCGGGACGTTTCGCAGGGATCACACCGGCATTGTCAACCGGCAAAACAAAAAAATTATAAGAAGGACTCTATGAGCCTCATCGTTGTTATTGTGAGACTGATAGTGCAACCAAATAAACGAGTAAGCGCACTTGAAACAAAGCACATTCGAAACAGAGATTACTCAGGTGTTCCCCTGCTAAAAATTTTTCATGGGAATGACATGTGATCACATGTGCTCTCACGAGAACGGCATGTGATCACATGCGCTCCCAGGGGAATGACATGTGATCACATGTGCTCTCAGGGGAATGACACGACATCACATGTGCTCCCCTGGGGAATGGGTAGGGGAGCCCGTGAGCTCCCCTGGTAGCTAACATGTGACCCGTGCGCTCCCATGAGAGTGTACATGTGACCCGTGCGCTCCCATGAGAGTGTACATGTGACCTGTATATGTGCTCTCGCGGGACCTCTCACGGTGTCCCGTGGATCATCATTGAACTTCCGGGAAAATGCCACGGGCCCATATATGTGACTGCAGTCCACCACAGTGGAGCATCACAAATCTTTATTCATGGGAAATGCATACAGGACCTTACAGCGTCCTATAAAGACGTCACCGAACTTATGAACGGATACGGTGCGACAAAACACTGCGTCTTTATCTACTTTAGACGCTTTATAAATTGAACCCTGATAAAAATATTTCCCCTGGGGCTGCACACGAGATCACATCTGCTTCCCTGAGGAATAGCAAGGAAAGTCTCTGTGCTCCCAAGGAAATGAATAGGGGGTCACCTGTGCAACCATGGGAGTTTGGGGATCTTCAGTTCTGTCCCTCCGTCCCTGCGCGTCCCGTAGCTTTAAGATTCGGTTGGCGGACTTCCGGCTTATCGGTTGTTTTTTTTAGTTTATTTATTTTTCAATCCATTTTATTTATTTGTTGATTTTTTTATTTATTGATTTTTTTTAATNTGCATTAGCATGCACTATTTGGCAAGCATCACCATTAGCCGTCGCTCATATGCACCGATCTAAATATGTGCTGGACTTACGTGGACATCCAATAGCCTCAGGCTGGACCAGCTCATATTTAAGACCGCTGCATCTGATCGACGGGACGATTCATTCCCACGACTGATTCCTAGGACTTCCCCGATCTGCGAGATCAGTCTCGCACCCCCGAAGTTGTCCGCGCCGAGGTGATTCTACGTGTCCGTTACACCTGCACCGCGCGTTCCTTCATTTTAGCGTTGCCGTCCCTTTTCCCAGGGCCCGCATCACAAGAGACGATGGAGGACTCTCCGGAAATCTGAAGTCGTCGATACTACGTTTAATAGTGGGGAGAAAATAACCGGTTGCAGTATTGCACTCTCGTATGGGCACCATACTATCTTTTAATTTCCCCTCATATCGGCAATATTGCATGGTCGTTTGGTCTTACAAGTATTATAGGGTTCATGTTTTGACAGGGTTTATTTATGTTTTTTTTCCTATTATATATCCATGTTTTTCTATTTTCGTGTTTGTTTTCAGATTGATCCGGCGGTCAATGTCAAGGTGGAGGGTAAGAAAAACTTTATATTTTGTATTTCATGCCCGTAAAGGGTCTAGCGCTTATTCCGTATCAACCACCAAAAACCCCAAAATGTGTGCATATATTGTCAAGACGGTGAGATCGCAGCAGTATAAATTAAATATTTTAATATAAGAGGAAAGCCTTTAATAACCGTTCAGAACCTTCTAATAAATAACGTCTCACTTCAAACTAGAAAAAACAACTTAATCGGCCCAAAACATGTACAAAGAAACAACTTAAAACGGGACTAAGGCCGCAAATAATAAACATAAAATAAAATAAAAAACCCGGGACGTTTCGCAGGGATCACACCGGCATTGTCAGCCGGCAAAACAAAAAAATTATAAGAAGGACTCTATGAGCCTCATCGTTGTTATTGTGAGACTGATAGTGCAACCAAATAAACGAGTAAGCGCACTTGAAACAAAGCACATTCGAAACAGAGATTACTCAGGTGTTCCCCTGCTAAAAATTTTTCATGGGAATGACATGTGATCACATGTGCTCTCACGAGAACGGCATGTGATCACATGCGCTTCCAGGGGAATGACATGTGATCACATGTGCTCTCAGGGGAATGACACGACATCACATGTGCTCCCCTGGGGAATGGGTAGGGGAGCCCGTGAGCTCCCCTGGTAGCTAACATGTGACCCGTGCGCTCCCATGAGAGTGTACATGTGACCCGTGCGCTCCCATGAGAGTGTACATGTGACCTGTATATGTGCTCTCGCGGGACCTCTCACGGTGTCCCGTGGATCATCATTGAACTTCTGGGAAAATGCCACGGGCCCATATACAGGGTGATCCAGACCACCCGTCCACTATCTTTTTCTCGAAAACGGCAGAGAATTGAGCTTCGGGACCAAAACTTTCAAAGGGTAAATCGACCCCAAAGAATCGAATGAAAATATTTTCAGCCTCCCAAAATGGCCCCTTGGGGAGGTTTTTGGGGGGAGCCCCCCCGTTTCTCGCAATTTTCCAATGGGAAGGGTATGTTTTGACTTTGGATTCGGAATCTACGGTAAAAAATAAGAACATTTTGTTCTTTGCCTTTTTTCCCTAAACCCCCATTTTTTGGAGTTATGGGGCATTTTTGGGGCAATTTTCAATTCGATGCTGTAAGCGGCCAAATCATCCAAATTTCAAAATCTAAAAATCCCCTGAGAGGAGTGGTCAATACCTTTTTATTGATGTGCCACATGACCCCTGTTGCTCCAAAATTTTGGGGGGCACGACCCCCCAAAAATTTTGGGGCTTTGGAGGGCCATGAGTCGAAAATGTCGAAAGGCAAGGGTATGTTTTGACTTCAGATTTGGATTCTACGCGAAAAGTTACGTAGAATTGATATGGCGCATGGCCTGTTTGCTCAAAATTTTTTTTACCCCTTATTTTGTCCAAAAATACACGGCTTCTCATGGGGAAATGGGGGTTCTTCAGTAATTTGGAGCAACAGGGGTCATGTGGCACGTCAATAAAAAGGTATTGACCTCTCCTCTCAGGAGATTTTTAGATTTTGAAATTTGGATGATTTGGCCGCTTACTGCGTCGAATTGAAAATTGCCCCAAAAATGTCCCATAACTCCAAAAAATGGGGGTTTAGGGAAAAAGTGCAAAGAACGAAATGTTTTTATTTTTTACCGTAGATTCCGAATCCGAAGTCAAAACATACCCTTCCCATTGGAAAATTGCGAGAAACGGGGGGGCTCCCCCCAAAAACCTCCCCAAGGGGCCATTTTGGGAGGCTGAAAATATTTTCATTCGATTCTTTGGGGTCGATTTACCCAGTGAAAGTTTTGGTCCCGAAGCTCAATTCTCTGCCGTTTTCGAGAAAAAGATAGTGGACGGGTGGTCTGGATCACCCTGAATGTGATTGCAGTCCACCACAGTGGAGCATCACAAAACTTTATTCATGGGAAATACATACAGGACCTTACAGCGTCCTATAAAGACGTCACCGAACTTAAGAACGGATACGGTGCGGAGAGGGTAATATCTCCCCGCCCCCCTCCTGGAATCTTCATGGAATGGTTCATCTTCACATGGAAATATTTTTGGTAGAATTATAAATTCCACAATGAAAGTCTGGCAACGTAGCAAAATTAGCAAAAGCTAAATCCTCATATTTCTTACGAAGTCAGGAGAGGGTAAGATTTCTCCCCCCCCCCTCCCTCCCTCCCAACTAGTTCCCCCAAAGCGCACAGATTGTAGGTACTAAGCAGCATAAAGCAGAGGTAAAGGTAAAGGTATAATTAATAGACATGGATGATTTCAAAATTTGACATATGTAACATGTTTGAGATAATATTAAGCACCTATAGTATTTTCCGGAGGAGGCTGCAAAGGGTGCTGCATGTTGTATGCAGCATGACAAATACGCAAGTACAACTCTGCGTCTTTACCGACCAACTACACAGAGATGGAAAGTTAAATTTCATAAGGCTCGAATAAATTTCACAAAAGTTGAAATTTATTAATTTTTTTAGAATTATTTATTGAACCTTTGAAGGTCTGAAAGCGTTTCAGATGGTCTTTCTGTTGATTCTGCGGTGTTATGCTACTCCACTGAAGGTGCCAGACACAAAGAGGGGGCAAAAAGGGGAGTTTAGAGAGAAAAACCCCAACCTAACCTCTAAATTAAACGAAAACATTTGCAACGCGCGAATGTTCTATGGCTTGGGGTAAAAAATTTCAAAAATTAGAATCACTGTTTCTAGGCGTTTCTTAGCCTCCTGAATGTATCCCCAGAAGTTTCAATATATTTCATGAAAGAGCTTGATGCAAAAACGGCTTTTTTCGCCCCCCCTCTGGAAGTTCTTCAGACTTTGTCCATTGATTACTCATACTTGAGCGCTTCTTTTCCCAAATTTTCAGACCCCTAAAAAATTTGGGGGGGGGGGAGCTAGAGGGGGTGGAAGTCAAAACCTGTGAACCTCGATATCTCTCGAACGAAGAAAGATATCGAGGTCCGGTTTGGACGAAAAATCGTCTAAAATTGCAAACTTTAAGATTTTAAAGATCGAAATGTCGATATCACATTTTTAAGTCAACACATGTGCTTTTTTCCAGTTTTTAGGTCTAGAAAATTTCTTTTAAACGAAAAATTCACCAAGATTTCAATTTTTTTTTTGAACCAAAACCAGTTTTTTAAATTGTTCGTCGTTTTCCGCATCCAACGAGTGGTCCATTAAGCTGGGGAACCAAACGGTTCCGGAGTTATGATCGATTGAAGTTTCCGCTCAACGCGCGCCGACCGATTTTCGCGCGCCAAAAAGTCGAATTTGACTGTTACTAGATTAGATTTTATGTCCAAACTGAGCAAAATGCATTATTAGGGACTCTTGAGAGTTGCTGAGTTCAGAAATTACAGATACTTTAAAAAAATTCACGTTTTTAAAATTACAGCTCCGTAGTGCTATTTTAGAGGCCCACTGAGCGCCGATCGGCCGCTCAGTGGTCCTGTGCGGAGCTGTAATTTTAAAAACGTGAATTTTTTAAAGTATCTGTAATTTCTGAACTCAGCAACTCTCAAGAGTCCCTAATAATGCATTTTGCTCAGTTTGGACTTAAAATCTAATCTAATAACAGTCAAATTCGACTTTTTTGCGCGCGAAAATCGGTCGGCGCGCGTTGAGCGGAAACTTCAATCGATCATAACTCCGGAACCGTTTGGTTCCCCAGCTTAATGGACCACTCGTTGGATGCGGAAAAAGACGAACAATTTAAAAAACTGGTTTTTGGTTCAAATAAAAAATTGAGATCTTTGTAAATTTTTCGTTTAAAAGAAATTTTCTAGACCTAAAAACTGGAAAAAAGCACATGTGTTGACTTAAAAATGTGATATCGGCATTTCGATCTTTAAAATCTTAAAGTATGCAATTTTAGACGATTTTTCGTCCAAACCGGACCTCGATATCTTTCTTTGTTCAAGAGATATCGAGGTTCACAGGTTTTGACTTCCACCCCCTCTAGCTCCCCCCCCCAAATTTTTTGGGGGTCTGAAAATTTGGGAAAAGAAGCGCTCAAGTATGAGTAATCAATGGACAAAGTCTGAAGAACTTCCAGAGGGGGGGCGAAAAAAGCCATTTTGGCATCAAGCTCTTTCACGAAATTTCATGAAATTTTCCATCTCTGCAACTACACATCTTTTTTACCTAAAATTTAACTTTAAGTACTTACGAGTATATTGTGTTTCTCCCACACGTATAGGTAGCCTCCTTTTATTTTTTAAATTTTCCCTGAGATTTACGCCTGATTCCAATGCACGGTGCGCCTGAACTCACTTTAAATGCGACTTTGTTGTACATCAAAAATTCAAGTTGGAGGTTGTAGTGCACGGTGCGCCTGAACTCACTTTAAATGCGACTTTGTTGTACATCAAAAATTCAAGTTGGAGGTTGTAGTGGGGTACTCCCTGATGGGTTTTTGGGCAATTTCGAAATAGGTTGTCGGAGCTCCTCGAAAAATAATCGCATTTTTGTGGTTTTTTAGGGGTAAAATAGCAAAATTGGCCTCGAGGCGACAAATTAAACCCCCTCTCCCTCATCCTTGCCTTGACCGATCTGAATTTTTAGTATGCTTTTACCTGGTATAAGATGGGACTTTTCTGAAATTTTCATGCCCATAAAAATTTTTTTGCTCCCGCGGCAGCGTTGCCAAGTTGCGGACTCCAAAATATCGAATTTAATGATAAAATGAAGGTTTCGGAGTGTGATTTCCATGCAAAATCAAAAATTCAAATTGTAAGTTGTAGTAGGGTACTGCCTGATGGGGTTTTGGCCAATTTCGAAGTAGAGTGTTTGAGATTTTTGAAAAATAATCGAATTTTTGCGGTTTTTTAAGGGTAAAATAGCACACTGACTGAGCACGGGGCGGCAAGTTAAACCTTTTCTCTCTCATCCTTGCCGTGACCGATCTGAACTTTTAGTATGTATTAACCTGGTATAAGATGTGACTTTTCTGAAATTTTCATGCCCATACAAAATTTT